ATATAACGAAAATGTGATTTTTAAGGAAAATTGCTATTTTTTATTTGGTCTGGAATAAATCTAATCTCAAGTCTACTCAAGATCCAACAAAATTTAGATTTAAACCTAAACTAAAATGAGCTCAAACGGGATCGTCCCAAGCCTAGATTCAGCTAGTCGACTTCATCAAACCTATCTACACTACTATGACATTTCTTGTTTAAATCCCACTCAGGAGATCTCTCAAACTACCCGTTCAACTTCTATCCACGATCATCGAACATTTTCAAATCATCCAACAGTCTGCATCAAAATTAAAAACACAAAATTAACTACGAGAATCAGTGAAAAAAGAGAGTGCTATAAAAAAAAAGACTATATATATACAAAAAAATACGAATAGAAAAGAGAAAGAACCGAAGAAAAAAGGTCATGGCCTCTCGACCGTGGTGCCATTACCAACACCCCTAAAGCCTCATCGCACATCCAACGACACTGCCTAAACCTCCGCATGCCTACTCCAAATCCCTTCAACACAATCTTGAACATACACCTCATTGCTTATCTGTCAGCAATAGTGTCCTACATGTTGTATGGACATGGTATTTTTACTATTATCATAATTAATTTAAAAATGAACTGGTTATGATAAAAGAGAAAATTATATTAAAAACTAAAAGATTATAAAAATAATTGAGAGACTAAATATATATATATATATAAGATAATTTACTTTGAAATTTTCTTTAATAGTTTGACTTTTTTAAAATATTTTTTTAAATAATTTAGAATATTTACAATATAATATATATATAATTTTTTTAGTTATTGATAACGTGTACATACTCAACAGACATAATTACTCGAATTTAAAACCACGGGCATAACAAAAGTGCACATCTCTATGTCCTCTATGTCCTTGGAAACTTCTAGAATGAAATGGGTGCTTAATGATGAGATTCATCTTAATGTAGAATATTTCGGACAAATAACAAAGCTTCCCTCAAGATTCTCAAAACCAATGATTTTCCTTTCTAGACAAATATTTGAAAACTGAAGACCTTTTTCTTAAAATCCATTAGCCATTTCAAAAACTTTAAAGGATTTGTCCTATCTAATAAATTTGTTATTTATTCATCCCTTTATTTTATTTTATTAAAAAAATCAACGAATATAAGTTAAAAAAAAAGTTAATTAATACAATTCAGTTTGATTTAAAATTAACTTTCAAGACAAATTACATGGAGAAAAAATAATTAGAGAAAACTTAAAATTAAAATTAAATAAAAATAAAATTCCATTTACACATGAACAATAACTAAATGTTTACGTATATTATCAACATTTATGTGTAACTTTGAGATTTTACTCTTTATAAAAAATTGGGGGAAAAAATATGATAGAATTGACCGATTGGATCAATGCAATAAAAGAATTGAATGTTCATTTGGTTGGTGATTTACAAATTTGTTAATTGATTTAATTGGATAAAAATTGATAAAAGACATTGCATATTTTTTTATTCAAAATGATAAAATTTAAATACTTATGTTAAGTTTCGTTGCATAAATGTTAAAATAATTAAAATTGTAATTATTATATGAATTTGAACATAAGAGATAAGTAGTATAAATCAAATTTTGAACGTGGACAGATGAATAAAAACTAAATAATAATATATATTCAAAATAACTAATATTACTATTAAAATAATATTAATTCTCCTGTTTGTTCAAACTAAATAGTGAGCGACTAAAAATTAAGTAAAATTATTGTATATTTATTTCACGTGTATATATATATATATATAAATTTTCTTAGTTTCTTGATAATGTAAACATGCATGCCGGTAGACGTAGCTATTCAAATTTAGTACTTCTATAGAAAACAACTCTGTCTTTCATCATTGAGGTCGCTCAATGGGTTCTTAATTCTTATATATTTAAATCTACAAATAACTAAAATATCATATTATCGTTTTTTGATATCTTTTATGCTTTTTTTATAATTTATTATTATTTCTCCTAATAATATTATCGTTAAAATATTTAACATGAATTATCTACGAAATATCTTATTATTATACCTAATGATTATTGATGAAAATCATAATGTCCAATCTTTTATATTAATTTTTCAATTCCCACATTAAATCAAGCATTTATGAAATGTTAGAGAAATAAATATCTTTTGAAAGAAAAGGGGGCTTCAATCACATTATGTAGAAAGATGAGCACTTGTTTCCTTGTGAAGTTTTAAGGGACTTTAATGCTCAAATGATGCAACAAAACAAAAGGAAAAGTCAGCTTTGCGCCTTTGTTTAAAAACAGTGATCATGTGAATCATGGATCAAACTGTAACTTTCAACCTGTTAGCCAATCCAAAACCTTCTCTTTACAATAAGTGCAGGGACTTGGAAAACAACCCATTAAACAATGAAAGAATAAAAGATACTTCGTTTTCATATATTATTAGAATTGGCACATCCACTCGTTATATGGATGGAAATTAATATATATCATTAAGAATAGAGAAAATAACCTCAGTGACCGAAAATGCCTTATAATATACGATTTTAATCAACTTTTTTTCGATTTACCAAAATGACCAACAAAATCGCAATGCGATCTCTAAATCGCAACGCGATCTCCAGTATTGCAAATCAGTTTCCAGATTCGCAACGTGATTTTGACTATCGCATTGCGAATATGTAAATCTCAACGCGATAATACAAAATCGCAACGCGATTCTGACTATCGCAACGCGATAATACAGAATCGCATTGCGATTCTGACTATCGCAACGCGAACTCTAATTTTTCAACTCAGTTTCCAATTCGCAACGCGATTTTGCGATAGTCCAAGTTCGCGTTGCGATTTTCCAAATTTGTTGCGATAGTCAAAGTTCGCGTTGCGATTTTCCAAATTCGTTGCGATAGTCCAAGTTCGCGTTGCGATTTTCCAAATTCGTTGCGATAGTCCAAGTTCACGTTGCGATAGTCGAAGTTCGCGTTGCGATTTTCCAAATTTGTTGCGATAGTCGTCAAAGTTCGCGTTGCGATAGTCCAATCCAAAATCGCAACGACTGGTGGTATTGCATTTGTTTCTTAAGAATTTTCTCTAAAAAGATAGTATACGCGCGGATGTGTCGAAGACACGTATTACCACGACCACGACACGGGACGGGACGGCGGCGGCGGTGCGCGAGAGTCCCCCTTGTTCTCTTCCACTGAACAAGGAAGTGGGAAATCCAAGCCTTAAATACACATTCCCAATAGTGTTTCCAATACTATGTGGGATTGAGCATTGCCAACACTTGGGAATCTTTTATACTATCGCAACACATTCTTTATTGTTTCAAACTAAGATCTTACAAATGGCTTGGGAATCTTTTACACTATCGCAACACATTCTTTATTGTTTCAAACTCCACGTGAATTTGGAATAGTTAAAATGTAAACTTATTTTAGATTTTTCACTATTGCAACACTTTTTCACTATCGCAACAACACGTTTTTCAAACTCTCGCAACACATTTTAACTATCGCAACATATTTTTCACAATCGCGTTGTGAATCTGGATATTCGTGTTGCGAATTTAGAAACTGAGTTGAAAAATTATAGTTCGCGTTGCGATTTTGTTGGTCGTTTTGGTAAATTCAAAAAAAGTTGATTAAAATCGTATATTATAAGGCATTTTCGGTCACTGAGATTATTTTCTCTTAAGAATATACGAAAAAGAAGGAGATAATGGTGTTTAAAGATATGTATAGTTAAAAAGTAAAAATAATGAATCGTAATTGTTTATAGGGCGATTGGTGTCGAACCAAATGTCATCATACTTGTTAATAGATTGACATATTATACAAATATAACTGTCAGATGTCATACTAATGAAAGATGTTTATGGAGATAACTTGATATCTCCGAAAATCTTTGTAGATGGAGATTTGATAACTTTCAAAAAAATATCTATGAAGGTAAAATATTTTTCTTTCTGATGATTTGTGTTCAGATAAGTTTGAGTTCGGATTTTAAACCTTTGTAATTCACGTTTTCCATTTCTTTCTTGTCCTGGACACTGAATGAAAGAAATTTGTACCTTTGTTTGTTTCGATAGATTTTGTTGGTGGGGATTTGTGAAGAAAGATGTTGGGGACGAAAAGAGTGAAAACTGTTGGGGTTGCATTAGTATCATGCCATGTGCGGTAACCATCAAGGTGGGTGAGGGAGACAAGTGTGGGTCAGCCCCCTCATCCCCTTCACGTGCACAGCCGGCCCACGCTTATCTCTTTGTCAAGCGCCACTGTCCTCGGTGGGGTGGTCCAATTATCCCACCACTTCTCCTAACACAGTGTTTCATGTTTATCCAATAATATCATCCGTCATATCATAGTCAACGCTGCACATTTAACCCTACCTCCCTTTGTTTTTTATTGCTTCATAGTTCCATAAAGGAAAAGCAAAGCAAAAGGCCTTCAAAGATAAGCCCAATTCAAGATGGCACAATGTTCTAATTAGGCCCTAACTTTTACGAATGATCATTTTGGTTTTTCTTTTTAGTATTTTTATCCTTCAATATTTTAGTATCTGGTTGAATTCATGTTGGATGAAACTATTAGTTAATTAACAATCAATTTATGTTGCTAACGACATAGCATTCTTACATATGTTAAATTGGTGATGTGTCACATGTCATGTCACATATTTGTGATAACGTGTTGCGTGTCACATCACCCGAGGTAACGATATAACACATCTACGTTACCTAAGGTGATGATGTAGCATGTGTCACGTTACTCAAGATGATGACATAATATATAACACGTTAGTAATTTAGGATACGTCATGTCAACAACATACATTGATCGTTAGTCGATTAATATTTTTTTATGCATCATGAGTCACTTTGAACAAAAACTAAAATGTTAAAATGTTTTTGAAAAAAAAATAAGAACTAAAATGATCATTCGACCCGTTTAGGGACTACTTTGAAATTCCCTTATTGTCTTTCAATAATCAACATAAGAACCCCTAGCAAGTATTGAAATGTACGTGTAAAGTTCAAAAGAAGAAACTCAACATTCTATCCAGCCATCTGAAGCTGCCCTGCATACAATAGTGTGGACCGACTCATAAGAATTCCTCCAGGGAAATGTCTGTCGGGACCTCATAACCGAAAACCATCGAGTAGTCGTCCAACTCAGCGGAGGTAAACTTCGGCATCCTCCATCTTTTTGCAACATCAGAGTCCTGGCCAGACATTAGAAGCTCCAAGACCTGATAAATGAAAGCATTTAGGCATTGCCTCTATAAAATGACTTGCAGAACTCTACCATGGGCGTAATTTAAGTACCTCGCTCATTGATGGACGCCATACCGCTGATTGCCTCACGCAATAGGAAGCTGTTAGAACTGATCTATGCATTTGATCCTCGTCGTATCTGCCTTTCAGTTTCGGATCGGCTAGTTCATTGATGTTCCCGGATTCCATAATAGGTTTTGCCTATACATGAAAGAATCATTTCAATACTAATGTATGTAACTACGATATTTACTACTCATGTATACTTCATACCCATAAGAGGAGGTTTTTCTTCGAGGAATCCACAGGCCGACGACCGGTAATGATCTCGAGGAGAAGAACCCCGAAGGCGAAAACATCTGTTTTCTCATCCACAATACCGTGCATGAAATACTCCGGTGCTAGGTACCCGAATGTTCCCTCTATAGGGATCACAGCATGGTGAGTCCATTTGTTAGGGAGCCATTTGGCAAGCCCAAAATCAGTTATCTACAAAGAGAGGAAAACCAAAGTTACATAAAGAACTCATGCATTATCATTTTCCAACAACATTTCTGTATGTCGTCGGTTGATTTACCTGCGGTTCGTAATCCATTCCGAGAAGGACATTAGAGGCTTTTATGTCGCGGTGTATGATTCGGTGTTTGCAACATTTGTGCAGATAATAAAGACCTCTAGCAACTCCAAGGGCAATCTTGTATCTCACAGGCCAATCCAGTACCACACTTGTTTTACCTAAGGAGTTTCCCAGTTAAAACAGAACCAGTTAAGAAGTTAAAATAATTTACTGCAGTTTATACTAGGAAGATGGTCTTTCTTACCATGCAAGGCAGTTGCCAGAGTTCCTTTCTCAGAGAAGTAGAAAATCAAATAAAGTCCATTTTCGACGCAGCAGCCAACTAATTTCGCGGTATTCGGGTGGCAAACATGTCCAATGACGCCCAATTCAGTGAGGAACTCTTTCTCTTTGTTTTCATCCTTGTTGTCCTTGGCCAACATCTTGACTGCAATAGCTCTCCCATCCGAAAGATCACCCCTGTAAACTTCCGAATACCCGCCTCGACCGACTATATTATCTGATACATTCATAAGTATTAACATCTAGATTTCATGAACAAATGAAGGTAATGGTAAAAAGTGTAGAATTTGTTACTGGTTTTACCTGGATGGAAGTTGTTTGTAGCATTTGAGATCTCCTCAAAGCTAAAGCACCTCATCAATGGCTGCTCCTTTTCTTTATTGGATAAATTAGACTTTCTTTTCCTCAGTGGAGACTTAAATACCATTGAGATGAATCTGTAAGGTGACATCTGTTTCCTTGTGCATGGTTCCCCTTTAAACTTTGGTGGCTGAGGAGGGGAACCAGACATTGTCGAGTCCCAGAAACTAGAGCTATCATCTTCTATGCTATTTGATTCTCCTTGAAGTGCATCTAGAACAGTCGTTGGTGACAGCTTCGAGACGACGGGATTTTGAACAGGGGAGACCGACGCATCGCCGCTGTTGTCACTCTTGTTAGACGACGTTGTGCTCCATTGATGAGTTTCTGCAAACAATCAAAAACAGAACTTCAGAAACAAGGAAATGAAAAATAAATTATATTGATACAACAATCATACAAGCCTGTTTCTGGAAGTAAACTAACCATCAAAATGTACATGTGTCGACTTTGGGGTCGAGTTTTGCTGTTGGTTCTTCGACTTCCCGATCGATACCACTGCACAGCCTTCAGGGGCATGCTTCAAACAGTATGATGTGATTTTATGTGATGTTCTAACCCAAAGAAGAAAAAAGGAAAAATTAAACTTCAAAGAGTATATGAGAATTGAGCTTAAAATGTCCAAGGATTGTTTGATTTCTCACTCTTTTGAACGCTTTCTGGAGCCAAGGAGAAGAAGAAAATCAGCTGAGATGGACTTTGCTTCCTCAATTAGACCCCTTTTAACACTCGAGTTAACTCCTACTTTTGCCTCCAAGTTTACCTGAACAAGGTGGATTACAGGATTTATCTTCGATGCACTAACGGTGTATAATTCAAAGTTCCAACTATAATTTTTAAAAGTCGGTTACCTGCTTAGATTGGCAGGTACTAGCAAATTCTCCAAGCACAGTTATAACATGAGCTCTTGCCTGCCGAAATTTTGCCTGATCTTTTCTTACCAACTTACTCTTCTTCTGTTCCTCACCAACTGCAGTTTCAATAAACATGTAAAAGTTTTACACCATTGTTCGATAACTAGAACATCGATCTCGAGTCTTAACTATTCAAAGAAGATCAGTGTCGTAATCAGATTTTACATTGTAAGAATGAATGTACTAACCAAGAACATGTAGGGCAACAATGGTGTCATTTGGACGAGCTAGAACTCTGATTGCCCACGACAACAGTTCCTTGCTGTCATTGGGGTCTAAACCTAATGAGATGCCAATGAGTATCTTAGCAGGTTTTGAAGTCATCATTTTCGAGTACACAAACTTGTCCAACAGGTTTCAAATGCAACACAATATATATAAACAACAAAACTTAGGTTAACAACATGTGTAGTAGAAGCAACAGCATGATTAAGTTCAGTTATAAAGTGTGGGCACACGGGTTGTAATTGGATTATTCTTGTTAAAGAAGCATAAAAGCTTTTTTCATGGCAAGAGAAATGTGATTAATCCGCTTTCACTTTCAAAGGTTTTTGGGAGTGAAATATTCAATGCGACGGTTAGGTGCTTTGGGGTCTAAGCAAAGGCGATGGCAATGGGGTTTTGATGTTTGATTTGTCTTGTTGTGCAAGCCAAAGATGGAAACTGGTGAAAATAAGAAAGATTAGAGCTTTGTTGGGGTTTGGTGCAAGTGTCGTGGCACTCGAAAGAGTTGGATCACTTTATGATGAATGAAACGTCACTTTTAAACTTGCTTCCCTAAGAGAGATTGATTTCCAATGATGGCACTTGCTTGCCCAGCCTGATAATTGCTATAATAATCCGGGGAATTTGCTTCTTTTGTCTTGACAATATATCAATGCAAAGCTTGCCACGAAAGAAAGACTCTACCCCCTATCAACATTATGACTTCTCTTTAAGGTATAATGCTAAAGTTAGCCTTCAACATTTGTCGGAATAGTTATTTTGATCCTTATTTTTTTTAATATTTTAATCCTTGATGTTTAATTTTTTAGTTAAAATGATTGATACTAAAATGAAATTGTTAGTTGGCAAAAAAATCAATGCATGTTGTTAACGCAATATTTTCATGTGTTGAATTAATGATGTGATATGTATCACATCACCCTAGGTGATGACGTGATATGTATCATGTTACTTAAGATGACATGATATATGATATCACAACGATTAAACACATAAAAATCTCATGTCAGCCAAAAACGTTGATAGATAATTAACTAATGATTTTCATCCAATAAGAATAATGATAACAAAAATAAAACGTTATACTCCAAAAAGATATTAAAATGACTATTCAAATAAATATCGGAAGCTAATACTAATATTATGACTTTCTCTTATTTTTCCTTTTTTGAAAATTATTATTATACCTTTCTTAAATGATTAATTTTTCTCATTCTATAAGTTTAGAGTAGATACTAATTGTAACACCCCAATTACCGAGTAAGTGACTAAATTGTAAGAATTTATAAATTATGTGGGTGAATTAGAATAGAGTGATAAGTCTAGTAATTTATGGAGGAATTTTGTGTGTTGGTTATGATAGTAAATATGAAATTATAATAAGGGTAAAATGATAAATTTCAGGGAAAGATATTTTTAATGGTTTTGGATGGGATATACATGAAGAAAAAGGGAAGAAGAGTTGGTAAATCATAGTGCTCTCTTCTTCTTCAACGTGGGTTGCATCTTAGGTAAGAATCTGAACCTTAGTTGTTTCTTTGATTTTTGGTTTGGTAATGAAAGTTTGGATGTTATATAAGCTAATGGAAAGCTTATATGACATTAAAACAACAAGATAAGTGTTTTAGAGATAGATTTAAAAAATGAGTTTTTAGATGAAATTTTGATATGGATGAGTTTTTGAAGTTTGAATAAGATTTTTGACTTGTCAAGAGGTTAATTAAGAAATATGGAGTGTTAGAATTGGATTTAAAACATGTTGAAAATTTGGTATGATTCTTAGCTTTAAGAATTTGAATGAAGTATGGGAGATAATAAGGTGTGTGAATGATAAAAGTTAGTTAAAATGGTTATAGTTGAGTTTAGTAGTATGAAAGGAGCTTTGTATGAAGAATTGAGTGAAGAGTTGATGATTTTCGGGTTTGAATAGTGAATTTTTGTGTATGAACAGTAAAGTTTTGGGTTTTACAGAATATGCAGAGGGAACAGATACCCCTGGGGGTATCGATTCCCCCCTAAAGGAAAAGTTGAAGTTTGGTTCATTAAATTAGTCTAAGTTATTAGTATAAAATTACAAGGGTTAGGCTTCTGATAACCATATTGAAAATTATGTTTATGTAGTTATAAAACGTAATCCTATTCCGGAACAATCGAAGAGTTAGGATTGAATCAACACAAGCAAGGCCAAGGTGAGTGCATATTATAAATATAGTACAATGGAATAAGACTTGTGATAAGTCTAATTCCTATGTTGATTTTTATAGTATAATAGTTATGAACATGCATACATGATAATTATTGTGATATATGCATAAGGTATATATTTTCATATGATTTGATAAATGATATATGTGAATAGATTCAAATGTACATGTGATATGATAAGTGATATGAGCTATGTGATCACAAAAGAAATGACATGAGCACAAGAACATATGAAACATAAGAATAATGCCCATGGTATACGATATGAGCTATGCGACACGACCGAAAACGCGACCAGGAATACTATTTAAAATCCTTGTGTAGACTGAAGCGTGAAGATTAAGACAAAAAGCTTATTTCCCATTTTCTATTTTAAAAGCGCTCTGAAGGAAACCGGTAGTTTGGGGAATTTGTGAAACCAATCACAAAGGAACTTCTATAGAAATTATGCCTTAATTCCATGATCTGATTTTCCTTTAATATTCAAATAAAAAAATGGCGGTCCCTTTTTCCCATATGTATGGGGTAAGGGAGAGGTAAGATAGTAGGCTACCCCCAACACCAGGTTGAGAGCAACTTCCATAAGAGACCTCCGAATTATGAAATGCTCTCCGTGAGACTCGATCTCACGACCTCAAAGTTAAGAACCTTGTGCTCTGCCAACTGAGTTGGATGGTCATTTCTTTAATATTCAAATAAAAACAACCAATATCACATGGACTGTCACATTTTGTAGCCTCATCTTCAACTCCAATTTATTGTTTGCAATATGCAAATGTGAATATATAAATTAACTGGTAACTCATCCAGATTAAACGATTTTGGTGATTAAAATGATGACTATTATCTCTAAAGATTTCGGGTTTGAACATAGCGTTTATATAAGTGTATGAATATATGAACGTTCATTATTAAATAGTAAAGAATCTTTCGAGCAAATACTATCTTATAATTAACTTGGTGACCGGGTGGGTCTTGGGCACTTTGTATTATGGCTCTTGAGGACAAACAATTGAACCTCAGGTAATGGTTGTTGAGGATTCGGCTAGGATATTCATACACGTGCTTAGAGACCCACTTGGAGCCTAAGCTTTTGTTTTATTTGGTTGATTAAATTTTCACCCAAGCGGTAAAGACAGCGACAAAATTAGGATCAAGCATTAAAAAGAAAAAGATTATTAAATTTAAATTTATAAATCTTTTTATATAGACATATGTATTTATATTATTTATTCAAATGTTTTAAAATATAATGTTGAAAAAGTTGGGCCGGGTCCACTAATAACGGGAAAAAAGCGATCATTTAATAAATTGATTCAAAGGCAGTTTATTGCATTTTATGGAAGATAACTGCCAGGTGGTGGTAGTTAAGGGTGACAATAAATAAGTACATAAATAAATAAAAGAAACTGACCATTCCTTACATGATTATCTCTCGACCTATGGGACATTGAGCCATAATTCATTAAACGATCTTAGTGATATAATAAAATATATTTATTTATTAAATTTTGAGTTTAAACAATTGCGTCTATAAAATATTTGTGATTTATATCATCGAAATGAAAGACAATTTCATTTATAGAGATTAAAATTTCTCAACCATGTTTGGCATTGTTTCCTTTTGCATATCGGTTGTAAGGATCTTGCATCTCCGATTCCATGGCACCAAATACTCCATAGCTTTCATCAGGACCCCCATCATCATCATCGTCACTTGTTTGATCAAGTGCCAGTAATTCATCCTTATACTTGATGCTATTCATTCTAGTCTGCAGAGCCTTGCCTTCACTGCCATACCCTTTAAGCATATAAACAACTTCCTTCATGCTCGGCCGCTTCTCCGGTTCACTTTGCACGCATAAACAAGCGACGCTGATGGCTTTTTTCAATTGGTTTTCATCAAAACTTCCTCGAAGCCTCGGATCGACGAGGTCCTTAAACCGCTCTTTTGCTATAAGTGGCTCGGCCCACTCGGTTATGGTCCTCTTTACACCACCGGGCAACTTTTCTATAGGCTTTCTCCCCGTGAGAAGCTCGAGCAAGAGAATACCAAAACTATAAACATCGCAACCGTCGGAAACCTTTCCCCACATGGCATATTCCGGCGCAAGGTATCCTAAAGTACCCTTAACGCGAGTCGTCATGTGGCTTACACCTTCTGGGATTAGCTTCGCGAAGCCGAAATCAGCGACCAGCGGTTCGTAATCCGAATCTAGTAGGACATTGCTTGCCTTGATGTCTCTATGAATGATGTGGGGCGTTACCTCATGGTGCAAGTACCTAAATAACATGAAAATCTTTTATGCTTTGCCTAAGAATATGCTATGATTCAATAAAAAAAAGAGCAAAACTTACGAGATGCCTTCTGCTGAACCAATTGCGATCTTCATTCTCTTCCTCCAATCCAATTGAACCTCACCGGCACACTGGCCGTGCAGACGAGACAGCAGGCTAAGATTCGGCATATAATCGTAAACGATGAGCCGTTGATCGGTCCCGACACAGTAACCCCTTAGACCCAACAGATTCTTGTGCCTAACCCTTCCGAGAACCTCAACTTCCACTGCAAACTCCATTTCAGCTTTTGAAGTCATGGATTTCAACTTCTTAACAGCTATCTGCATGCATAATATTCAAGAACCAGGACCTTTTAGGCATGAAAAAACAAATATTTCAAAGGATTAAATCTATGTATATGTATAACCTGGAGACCGTCACTGGCTTTACCCCAGTAAACGCTGCCGAAGCCGCCTTCTCCGAGCTTGTTATCGTCGGAGAAGCCATTAGTGGCAGAGTGCAACTCTTTGTATGTAAACATTCTCCATGTTGAATTCCCTGGAGTAACAACACTTACCCTACAAAAACCATGGCTAAAACTTATCAGCATAATCTGATAACTATGGAAATTAAGAATAATATATAGAAAGAAAGAGCACTAATATTTTGCATACACTTCATCTTCCTTATGGGAGCCACAGCAACTAAAGGTTGATCCCATGGCTTTGGGTTTGAGATTCTGAATTGGTAGATTTGAGTTTTTAAAACAGACTTGAAGTCGTATCTGAAATTTGTCAGCATGGGGCCAGGCGTTGGGGCCGCCTTTTGCCGGCTTGCGAGTGTCCTTTATAACTCCCAAGGTTCAACGGATTTAACTAAGCGGAACACACTTCACTTTAAAATATAGGGTTAACTCAACAATAAGCCCCTAAACTATAAATTTTTTGGGTTTGATGCATAAAGTATAAATTTATAATCATTTGGGTCCTTCATTATTATTTTTCTTCTAAAAAAATTCCAATCAATTAGACATTGACACAAAAAATCATGTTACAAAAATCCATCATCTCGCTAAACTCAAGTGTCTAAATAATCAATATTTTATTTTTGATCGAAGAAGTATATTCAACAATTTGAATGTCAACTAAAACGAAAGACCATAGAGAATAACAAGTATGATTTCATGATCATCAGATTATCATATTTATAGTTTGAGGTACAAGAAGTCGACTAGTCAAATAGAGAGAAAAGGGTGTTGGAGTTTTATTTTGGTATAAAAATATTACCTGAAGAGTGACGACAATGATGTGGGGACCGATGATGATAGAAGCGAGAAGTTGTAACGTCTCAAATTTTTGAGTCAACGAATATGAGTTGATATGAGAAATCTATGGACTGAAGTGATTGAACAATTAGAATTTTAAGATCAAATTTGGGTTTAATCGGTTGAGAATTAGGCCCAATTAACCTTAAAAGGGGGTTTTGAATTGGTAGTAAAGGATGAAGAACCAAATGTGTAATTAGACCCTTGAGAATTATGAAGGCTGCAATCCATTTAATTTGGGTGACTAAAATAAAAACGAGACAATAAATTAATGACTATTGTTATAGTTTACCCTTGTTAATTTTGATGCAATTTGATCTCCTACTCAATGATCAGTGCGTACTTAAGTGCATTCAAACCCCATAATATCACAAATGTTACGGTAACAATAATATTAAACTAAACTAAATTTAATTGATATTTATTATTTAATTCACTAAAAAATATAATTAAATGTGGAATAAAATGATTATTTCTTCATTAGTAAATTTTGTTCATTCATCCATACCATTAAAATAAAAATATTTATATAAACTTGGAGTTGTATCAATTTCTTCATTGCACAAGCTATGGTTCTATGTTTAAATATTTAGCATTCTGAACTTATATTGTAATTAATACAAATTTTAAACTCCCATCTAACGATGCCACTTGGCATAATTAAGTGGTTAGTCAAAGCATATTATCATTAATATATCATTACTTAATTAATCTAAGAGAGGCGTCATTTGGTGGTTGTTGTTGTTCTATTGGCAACATGTTATGATGTGTTGGTAGAGCACAAGGTTCTTAATTTTGAGGTCGTGGGATCGAGTCTCACGGAGGGCATTTCATAATTCGGAGGTCTCTTACGGAAACTGTTCTCAACTTGGTGTTTGGGGTAGCCTACTATCTTACCTCCCCTTTACCTCATATATATAGGAAAAAGGGACAGCCATTTTTTTTATGATATGTTTTTATATTTTCCTTTTTTTTAATTTGTTTGTCCACAGTTGACTTTTTATCCAACAAACTCAATTTGAATTATTATTATTTTTAAATATCATACAAAAAAAATATGTTTAATTTTTTTTCAAAAGTTCCATCTGGTTCAAAAATTAGTCGGTTTTCGATTTTATTTTTTGAAAATAAATGTAAATATAAGAATATGTGAAAATTAGAAAATAAAAAGAATTATTTTTTTGTTTTCACTAAAAATATTTTATAAAATTAAAAGAAAAAGTAAAAACAATTTTTTGCCGAGTTCAAATCCATGTCAATATAAAAACATTCTTTAAAAATATTATATTTGAAAAATAAAATTTTGTAAAAAAAATACATTTCTTAAAATCAAGTTTTGTTTTGTTTTGTTTTAATTGAAAAGTGTCTAAATTACCGGACAAGTTTTGGTTTTAATATTCAAGATTTAGGCCAATTTATCTTATATTTTAATTTGTTATTATATTATTATTTATATATTATTTAAATTGTATAAAAATTAAATTCAAAGTAATATTGCCCTTTCTAATTTTTTTAGGGTTTATTCTTATTAATTCATATCGATCCGTGTTGCACACCTGATTTTAGTGGGTGAGTCTTCTAGTATTGATTTTCTACAAACACAATACTTTAAACTTGTGGCATGCTCAAGCGATATCAAATTGTTTACTACTTAAATCAATCGTCATTAGTAAATTCAGAGAAATATTTAATATTATAATAAAACTTAAAAATAAAATTTTGAGTTGAATTCAAACTACGTGGCTGTAGGCTGTAGCAATAGTCAATAGATGGGTTTCCCGTTTATGTTCAATAAACAAAAGGGAAATGATAGTCCGACAGCCACTAAGTTGAAGCATGAAAAACAGTAAATTAAGGTAAATCAAATCTTCTTTTCCTCAGCGTGTTTGAATACGGGCGTCGATGATGCAATTGAAAACTAACACGTGTACATTTTAATAATAATAAAGAGCTAAAACTTGTAATTTTATAACCAAAGATACTCTGTTTTGGTTAATCCCAAAATACATGAAGGCATCCCAAATGTATCCAAAAATGTGGCTCTTAAAGTCAAGTTAATGTCACTCTCCACTGATCATTACTGGTAGAAAAGGCATCACCCTCATTTCCACAATTGTCGAGTACTTCTTGATCATGATTTGTTTTCATGGCTTCCCGTTTATAAGAAGAGGCGGACCAAGATAAAAATTTGGGGTAGGAGTGGTATTTGTGGAGGGGTTGCTTGGGATACTCCGGGCACTATGGAGGTTCGCCCTTAGATGAGGGATTGCCCGGGATACCCCAGGCACCATAGAGATCCACCTCTGTTTATAAGGTATAAATAAATATATCCCAATTGTCGAATACTTATGTAGGCCATAAAAATAAAATCTAAAAATAAGTAAAATAATTGCACATATAAAAATATATATATAAATAATGTATTCTTCTAAGTTTTTGTTTGTTTACATTTGGCAATTTGGCATTTCGAATTAGGGATGGCAACTCAACCCGAATCCGATCGAGTCGGATTTTTTTTAAAAAAATTCGGGTTCGGATCGGGTCGGGTCGGAGTTTTTTTTTTAAATGCACTGTTCGGGTCGGGTCGGGTTTAGGATGGAAAAAATCTGACCCGACCTGACCCGAAATATATATAATTTGACTCTATATATTTAGGGATAATTATAATAATACCCCTCTATATATAATTTTTTTCAATTAAATCGTTGTTTTTATTGAATAAAAATATTTTTTTTATTATTTCAGGTCGGGTCGGGTCGGGTGAAACCTTAATTTTGTCAGGTCGGATCGGGTCACGGGTGAAAGACTCTTTCTTCTCGGGTCGAGTCGGGTGGCACAAAAATCGAACCCGACCCGACCTATTGCCATCCATATTTCGAACCCTAAACTCCACAAAGTCTTATTTATTTTAGTTTGTTTGTTTGTATTTTATCCCTCCAACTGTATATAGTTTAACTCTTGTAAGATATATAGATTGATTGAATATTATAATATTTGATTTATATCCTATGTGAAATTTGTAGTAGTATTTATAACCTTTTCAAATATAAACTTTATATATATATAGAGAGAGAGAGAGAGACAGTTACATCAGAAGTCCTTAAATTATGATCTTCATTCTAAATTCATCCTTAAATTTGTTATTGTTCTAATTTCATTTTCAAACTATTACTTTCATTCTAAATTGGTCTCTAAACTTTTGAACATTTTAATTTCATCCCAAACTATCTGTATATACTAATCGTGTCTCATGTTAATAAAACCGTTAGGATAAATTATATTATTATATGCTTGAAATAACTAAAATTTAGATTAAACTACGATCGGAACTAACTATATATTTGGATGAATTTGTGGATGAAATTAGAATGTTTAAAAGTTTAAAGATTAGTTTTAAATAAAGATCATAATTTAAAGACATGTGATGCATTTAATTCATATATATATATATATATATATATATATATATATATATATATATGCTTTGCATTCTTTGAAAGGTATGACAAGTTGCTATTATATATTCAAAAATCTTGCACTATTTCAGTATTCTTGTTCAGATGTCTTCTTTCTCTGTGACCATATGGAGTTAGTTTTTTCCTTGGTTTTCCAACAAGTTTTTTTTTTTTAATTTTCCAAGAAGTTGACTATAACAGTCTTGCCTTGTTTTGGTTTTTACTTCTCTTTAATTCAACACGGATCCGATTTATAAATTTTATTAGTTTATATATACGTATATATGAAAATATTTTTGATCTAACTATTTAAAAGTTTGATTCTAATTTATGTATATATTTTTTTTTAAAAATATGATCTAATTATTGCTGCTTTTAATTTTCATGTCTACCAGTTTGGTTGTTGAAATCTCATTTTCAAGAAACAAAAACTCGACACTCAACGGAAATGCGGAAACCAGTGGCAGCCATTTTGCTTTTCAAGTTGTTGTCTTCATTTCTGTTCCTGTTTTCTTTCTTCTTTCCAGTTTTTAGCTTCTCTGGTTTCCATGGCTCATCTCCTGGTCTTAGACCAACAACCAGCTTCAAAACAAGCCCTGCCCCTGCCTCGTTTCACACCACCCGCTTCCTCCAAGCTTTTTCTCCCAGGTAGTATGTTATATTTGTGTTCATATGATTCATTCTTCGATATTAACATCTAAACGATACGATTTCGAGTATAGAAACGATATGATTTCAAGTCCGGAGAGTTTACATAAGAAGAAGAAGATGCATCATTCAATAAAGGGGCCATTGAAGGAGGATTTCACATTCCCTGCTGGTTCTGCTCCATTCAACAGTTGTCATTCTTCTACCATTGTTGAGGTTGGTAAGGATCATTTCTTAGTTGCTTATTATGGAGGAACATCTGAAGGAGCACCGGATGTGAAGATTTGGTTGCAGAAATACGAGGTAATCTCGATTTTTTCGTCTTTCGCCTTCGTTCTTTCTTGGTGATTTGTATGGAAGAATTGACATTTTACTGGCATGTTTATGGTTTGGCAGGGTGGCCTTTGGTATCCACCTATTGTTATTGATGAAGAACCTAATGTTCCAATGTGGAACCCTGTACTATTTAAGCTTCCATCGAATGAGGTGCTGTTATTCTATAAAGTAGGCCTGGATGTTCAAAAGTAATTCTCTAAGCTTTAGTTTCGGTTTTTAGCCTGCGCACATAAGTTCGTTAATGCCTTAGCTAATTCATCCGATGTCGACATTTTCCAACATGACATGTGAGCATGATATCTGAATTTAGTTGCAACCAATGGATCATTGATACATCTTTTTGCCTTACTCTCACTGTGGTAAAATCCAGATGGAGTGGCTGCATGAAGCGATCATTCGATAAGGGTGTTACTTGGACACTCAGGGAACAGCTACCACCAGGCATACTCGGTCCGTCTAAGAACAAGGTATGGTTACTATGACTAAACCAACATTCGTTTTCGTTGTGTGACATATGAAGAACTCTGATAAAATGTCCTCACCGTTTGCGTCATTCACTCTATCTGCAGCCTCTCTTGTTGGGGAACGGGAATTTACTCTGTGGATCGTCTGTGGAGAGTTGGAATTCCTGGGGAGCATGGGCCGAGGTTGTAATGGCATTTCTACTACACCAGCAGTGAGAGCATATTATGTCCAAAAATGTTATTGACATGTCTTGTAACTCACATGCAACAGGTCACGTCAGATTCGGGACAAACCTGGAAGAAATACGGCCCGATCTATGTTAAAAACGAAACCCTCAGCGTGATTCAACCGGTTCCTTACTTAACTGCAAAAGGCACCCTGCGTCTTTTAATGCGATCTTTTAACAACATTAGCAGGGTTTGCATGGCGGAGTCATTCGACGGTGGACAGAATTGGGGTTATGCCATACCTACAGAGCTCCCCAACCCAAACTCAGGTATCAAATACGTCACTTCTTTCGGTTTTGAGTTCTTTCCATTTCGATGGTTTTATGACATACCTCGAACTTTGTTCATCAGGTATCGATGGCGTCAAGCTGAGAGACGGTCGCCTGTTACTTGCTTATAATACAATCTCAAGGGGTATACTTAAAGTTTCGGTATCGAAAGATGATGGTGATTCATGGCAGGATAGCCTGACATTGGAAGACACTCAAGGAATGGAATTCTCATATCCTGCTGTTATCCAGGCTAATGATGGATTAGTTCACATCAGTTACACTTATAACAGGACCCAGATTAAGGTAATTGATTCCCTTATTCATTTCCATTTAATTATTTTTTCCCTTTCTTACTTTAGCTGAAATTTGTGTTTGCAGCATGTTGTTGTTCAACCAAATTGACCAAGTGCTACAGCTACCTGAATCTCCTTTTTCATGAAACTATCTGCTGCTAGTGCTGCAGCTTTAGATATCAAATTGTAATGTAAAAAAACTAAGTGATTATAAATGAGTCTACATTTCATTTAAAGGGCATACTTGTTAGCATCCACTTCCATTCCAAGCAGTACCAAATGTTTCACCATCTCCTACTTTAAGGAGATCGACAAGAAGCCGATTCCGGCAATCAAATATCCCCAGAAAGCACTCGGTTTCACCAAGCATTTGAGCTCGTCTGATGAAGAATATTAAAGGAACTTGTTCCATTACATTAACTGTTACACTATGATGATGTTTGGAAATGTAGTTGTCATATTTGATGATTAAAATCGACAGGTTACACCAGACTCAGGTCTGTACTGGAAGAAGTATGGCCCTATATATATTGAAAATAAGTCTCTTAGTGTGATCCAACCGGTTCCTTATGTTACTTCAAAAGGAACACTGCGTGTCTTAATGCGATCTTTTGATGGCGTCGACAAAGGTTGTATATCGAAATCCAATGATGGTGGTCTTAACTGGGATAATGCAAAACCGACCGAGCTTCCTAACCCGAACTCAGGTTGGTGTGTTAACCCTGTTTCTTTGTTGGCATCCTACAAAGTAATGCCGTGGAAAAGGGAATATTAGCTTCAATTTCCCTACCAGCTTATACCATTAGCTGTGTCGTAACCGGTTTTCGTCCGGGCACGAAATATTAAATTTGGCGGGGAAATTGATATGAATAAATAATTTTGAAAATAATTTGAGAGTCGCCATCGGCCTTTTGGGTTAGGTAGGTCGAATACCTAAAAAAATATCTTTTAAAAGAGTTTTAAGAAAACATCAATTAAAAAAATTAAACTGATCTGCGTTTATAACCAAAAATTCGTTCTTTTTAATAATAAAAAGGGATTCGTGGTCGGTTACGTTTAGGGAAGGATTAGCACCCCTACAACGCCCAAAATTGGTACTTTGCAATTATAAATTGTCTCTATTATTAAAATTTAAAAATTCGAAAATTTATAATTCTATTATTTTCAAAATTATATAAAAAAATATTTATTTATTTAAAAATATCCAAAAGAACTTCTAGGTGCCTTAAGACAGCTCTTTTCTTTGATATTGATAAATAATATTATTTAATTTTTAATTTTAAAAATTCAGAATAGGACATCCAGTTGTATTAAGACTGTCCTTTTCTTCGATTTATTAAGATAAATATTTAAAAATTACTATTTATTATATATATATTTATGACTATATAAAAATATTTATTCATAAAAATAAAAATACTATTAAAATAATATATTAAAAACAATAAAAGAAAACATATATAATAATGACTAAATTACAGTAAAAATAAAATTAAAAGTCTAATTTATAATTAATCAAAATTATAGGGATCAAATATGTTATTTTCTGATTTAATGATTTAGTGACTAAAATAAAATTATCTAAAATTCGAATTTTATAATAAATTAAAAATATAAACTAGGGATAAAAAAATTATTTATGGAAATTAATGGATCAAATCTGTAATTTATCCTAAATATATTATTTTAATATGAAGGACTAAAATAAAAGAAATTAAAATTCGAAGACCAAATTAAGAATATTATAAATTTAATTTAGTGACTAAAATGTAAACTTTACAAATACGGAGGACTGCGGACGGGGTTTAACTATTTCGTAATTACGCGCATAGTCCTTCCCAAAACGACGTCGTTCGGGAAGGACTATAAATGGTCCAAACCGGCTGGCCCGAAGGGCCAGCCATTTCATTTCTTTTTTTTTTCTCTCTCTAGCAGAGAGAGTTTTAAAACTCTCTGCCTTCTCTCTAGCTTCCCTCACCGGAGGGAAGCCGGTCATCGGACGGCAACCGTCTGCCACCGTGACCATCACCGCCGGCCACCGCATCCGGTGGCCGGAAAATTTTTTCTTTACACTAATATATAGATCGGACCGTCCTAAGGACGGTTCCGGTGTTATTTCTTCCTAAAAGGCTCCCAATCGGAGCAAATCTACAAAAGTACCTTCGTTGTTTCGAAGGTTCCGGTGAGATCTGGTAGTCGGAGCTTCCTCGGTAAGTCTTTTCTTCCTTTTTCTTTTTCTTTTTTTTTCTTCTGGTTCTTTGCTGCTGCTGAGATCGTTGGTATTAGTTTGTTTTTTTCTTTTCTCTGTTTTTTTTTTCTCTCCGATTCTGTCTCTGTCTCTGTCTCTCTTTTTTTTTCTTGCAGGTGGGGTGGTGGCTTTTATAGCCACCACCGTTGTAGCCGTCGGACCGGTCCGAAGAAGGGCTCTCGGTGAGTCACCGGACTACCAGTGGTGACTCACCGAGTAGCCATGGCGTGGACGGCTGGTATGATCTTCTGGAGCCTTCATTCGGGACGTGGCAGCGGCGGAGGCGGCGAGAAGACTGTCGGCAGCCGCGTGAAAGCTGGGGCGGCGCCGCGTGGCCCTAGGGTATCAAACCCTAGGGTTTCTCTCTGGAACCATGTGGACCGTTGGATCGTGCCAGATCCAACGGTTGTGATGAGGCGGCTGAGGATGATTAGGGTTAGGAAACCCTAACTGGAAACCCAAATATTTAGGGTTTCTGGTTGGATTTGGACCGGTTTCAGTTGGTTTGTAACTGGGCCGGTTTAATTGTAATTGGTTTATAATTTATATGTATTTAATATATTTAATAATAAAATAATAATAATAATAATAATAACAATAATAATAATAATAATATTAATAATGATAATAATAATATTAATAATAATAATAATAATAATAATATGGATAAAAAATAGTATCTTCAGCTGCCCCTCTTTGCTTATTCTTGTGTTAACAAGAATAGGGCAAAGATGAAAAGATAATAAAATTTTTTATCCATTTGACTTTACTTTGATCATTATGGAGATATTGAATAAATTCTTCTTTTTTCTCCAGATGAGTTCTTCTCATTACGAACTTTCTGCTGGGGATGATGTTCTATCAAATGATGAATTCAAGCAAAAGATTGAACAAGTTCTTCTCATTATGAACTTCTTCTTCCTTCTTCAGATGACGAGTTCTTCTCATTATGAACTCTTCCTCTGGAAAAGAATGATCCATCAAGTGATGAATTCAAGCAAAAGGTTGAACAAGTTCTTCTCATTATGAACTTCTTCTTCCTTCTTCAGATGACGAGTTCTTCTCATTATGAACTCTTCCTCTGGAAAAGAATGATCCATCAAGTGATGAATTCAAGCAAAAGGTTGAGCAAGTTCTTCTCATTATGAACTTCTTCTTCCTTCTTCAGATGATGAGTTCTTCTCATTATGAACTCTTCCTCTGGAAATGATGATCCATCAAATTGAATTCAAGCAAAAGGTTGAACAAGTTCTTCTCATTATGAACTTCTTCTTCCTTCTTCAGATGATGAGTTCTTCTCATTATGAACTCTTCCTCTGGAAATGAATGATCCATCAAATTGATGAATTCAAGCAAAAGGTTAAACAAGTTCTTCTCATTATGAACTTCTTCTTCCTTCTTCAGATGACGAGTTCTTCTCATTATGAACTTTCTCTGGAAAAGAATGATCCATCAAATGATGACTTTAAACAAAAGGTTGAACAAATTCTTCTCATTATGAACTTCTTCTTCCTTCTTCAGATGAGTTCTTCTCATTATGAACTTTCTCTGGAAAAGAATGATTCATCAAGTGGATTTGAAATCTTTGCTAAAATCTTTGAAATTTCTGTTAACAATTTAACAAGAATAAAAATGAATGAAAATGCATCTATTTTTGTAAACACCTAAAATATGATGCATGAATGTTAAGTTATTTGATTTCAGATTGGTGAACTGAATATTTCTTCAGTTGTAGAAACCCAATAAATCTTTCTTCTTCAAATCAGAGAATCTATCCTCTTTGACAAATGTAGAGGTAGATATAATGTCACAAAAATTTCTTGAGAATAAAACTTAATCGTGTAGGCTTTTGAAAAGCTTGCATTCAAGCAACATGTTGATTCTGATAACAGCTCATCTGATTATGAAATGGCCTTTCAAGATGATTTCACAGATATCGATAGTTCTTTTAATACCAAAAAATCTTGAATTCTGATTCTGATGAGGAGAATAAACTGTTATACTTGACAAAAATGGGATTCTCAAAGGCTGAAGCTTCAATAGCCATGTAGAAATATGGTCCAAACTCATCAATTGTAAAATTGATAAATTTTATATGTGCTGCTCAAATGACTAAGGCTGCTGATGCACTTCTTCTAGTAAAAGATAACTCAAAGAACACTTCCAGAAGATGCTATTGGCAAATTTATATTTTAAATTCAATACTTGATTTTGTCCACTCAGATCAGATAACTCAAAGAACACTTCCAGAAGATGCTATGTTCTGTCCAACCAGATCAGATAACTTAAAGAACACTTCCAGAAGATGCTATGTTCTGATCAACCAGATCAGATAACTCAAAGAACACTTCCAGAAGATGCTATGTTCTGTCCAACCAGATCAGATAACTTAAAGAACACTTCCAGAAGATGATATGTTCTGTCCAACCAGATCAGATAACTTAAAGAACACTTCCAGAAGATGCTATGTTCTGATCAACCAGATCAGATAACTTAAAGAACACTTCCAGAAGATGCTATGTTCTGATCAACCAGATCAGATAACTCAAAGAACACTTCCAGAAGATGCTATGTTCTGTCCAACCAGATCAGATAACTCAAAGAACACTTCCAGAAGATGTTATGTTCTGTCCAACCAGATCAGATAACTCAAAGAACACTTCCAGAAGATGCTATGTTCTGTCCAACCAGATCAGATAACTCAAAGAACACTTCCAGAAGATGCTATGAGCATATTCATTTGTTCCATTTAATGTTTGGACTGGGATATCACAGTACTTACTCGATGTAAAGCCATAATTTGTAGATTCGAAGCATTTTCCTGCTGTCACACTGAAAATAGGCTATATTCATAATCTGCCAATTAAGAACAGAGTTTCTCTTATTCTGCTTCTTCCATGTACTGATGCTTTTCCATTGACAAAGAAATGATGGCCTTCTTGGAATCCAAAAACAAAGTTGAACTGTTTATAAACATGTACAGGAAGTGCCAAATTAATAGAAAAGATTTGTAATGTTCTTGAAGCTTATGACAAAGAGCCACTTTCGAGTGTCCAGAAGTATGTTCTTGATGAGTGCTGAAAATGGAATCTAGTATGGGTTGGAAGGAATAAAGTTGCTCCACTTGAACCTGATAAGGTGGAAATGCTTCTAGGTTTCCTTAAAAACCATATACAAGGATCTGTATAGAAACATGTTTCCCAGTGATATCAATGTCTTGTTTCTTTTTGTTGGAATCAATGCTACAAAGGTTGCGTTTTATTGTCTTAGTATATCTTTGCAAACAGATGTGCAAGAACTGAATGGTGATCGGTTGGAGCAATTGATGAGTAGATTTGGCGGATTCGACCTCGTTGTCGGTAGCACCACTTATAACAATCTTGATGTTCATGGCTTTAAGCTAGTGATGATTTGCTTACTTTGTATTCCATGTATTCAAAAATATTAACATAAAGTGAT